ACCATGAAGATCTTTGCTGACCTCCAGGCGGCAGGCCAACCCGTTTATATCCGCAGCATTCGGCAGTAGCCTCGAGTAGGCTTCTCTTAAACAGCTTCCAGTCGCTTTCCACAGTTGTCACCGGGATCTGTTCAAACCGTCTTGCGGTGTTGTTTGCAAATTTCGCTCTCGTGTCCACCGAAAATAATGCTTCTGCCACCAGATCTTCACATGGTACTCCATTTCTTACAGCGCAGCGTGCCAGCAACAAGGTGATGATCGGTTGATAGCTGTGCGCCTCTTTTAACACGAACATCCATTACTGAGCGTCTTAGGTCAGACGATACGATTATCAAATCGATCATCGACTTATGTGCACAAAAGCTTGACGGTACCTGATGTACTGATGCACTTTTCGATGCTTGAAGAAGGTGTTCGTAATGGACAATCCATTGTTTGCACTGAACCGCTACAACTTCATGTCGTTATTGTTGAGGTGTCTGTGGTTGTTATTTGCAATCAGGCCTTTCCATGTTTCTTTATTACTCCGATATGTTAAAATCATTGGAATGAGGGACTCAGTTATCAGCACTTCCTAAACAGCACACTGTACTTTCTCACGGAAAGATTCATATTCTCTGTCCAAATTAAGCGCAGTATCCAGAAACAAGATAAAACCTTTAGGCTATTGCATGACTAGTCGGAAGATTGTCACTCTTATGCTAACAAGCTTCTATTCAATGAATTTGTCAGGCAGGTTGGGTTCTACTAGAAGGTAGAACGTCGTAGGCGCATCGCGATTTTGACACCTTTCACCAGCAAAATTGAGCATTCTATAGTGTTGGCCTTTCTTTGACGAATGTCCAACTCTATCAAGTTGGTGCCCTGATACCTCATCAACTAACTCCTGCTCTTTCCTTCTCATTGAGGATACATTTCTGTTTCCGAGTGTGAGCTGCCGGATGTCGGTATCGTTCGTTTAGAGCCTTGTCTGAGGTTCTGTAATGGCATCATGCTGTCTACCTCCTTCATTCAGGACGGATAGCGGCTGTATTTCTGATTGATATGTTCTTCGTAGTTTTCCGATCTTCGAGAGCCATTGTGTTCTTGTTACGATCCCCTCTGTCAGACGGCAATGAACAGGTTCTGATCGCCGCCTCAGCCCTACAACGGTCTGTATGACCTTTGGTAACCTCAAGATGATCAAGGCTTTGTGTCGTTCGATGGTGGTAATATCATGAGCGGCAGATAGCTAAGATTTATGGACATCTAACCCCAGTGTCTAACTTTCGTCCGTTCTGATCGCAGGTTAGGACCGGCAGTGGCGCAAATACACACATGATTTCATGCAATGCTATAATAAATTGATTGAAGAACACATGTCTTCACATTGGTAAATGACTGTATCGAAGACCACTAAAACATTAAGAAATATTTTTTAGAAACGTGACGGGTGACGATCGAAAAATTTGTCTCTCAAGGGAAAAACGGCACTATCACGAGATATGCACAAGAGATGGAAAAGAACGTGTACGTTTGCCATAGAAAAGCGATCAAATGTGAAGGGAGCTACACCACTGAAGGCAATGTTAACCGGAAGGTGCCAATAAGCCAAGAAGCAAGAAGGACTGTTGATCTGCGTACAGCCTCGCTGCTTTGTACGTAGAGTGAATGTTAATTCGTAACGAATCAGACTCTTCTTTTCTAGACACGAGCGACCTCAATACATATCAAGAGGAACAGTAACAGGAAAACGAGAGTTACATATATTGCGTGATTTGCTGAAAAGTGCTGAAAGTACCTCACCAGAAGTATATATATAACCATAAACTTTGGTTTGAGCCACAAATGCCATTCGTTCCCCGTTTTGACTCTCTACTTACACGACATCCAGAAGATGAACGGATACTTCATTTTTTGTGAATATTTTGAAGTCTTCAGTTATTTTCACTCATTCAGTACCTTCCGTCGTGTTTGGCCCAGGTTTCCAATTTTGCTTTATCGCTTTTAAGTCCTCTGTCCAGTAGAAATGCGAGAGTACTCTCGCTTGTAAGTTACTGTGCAGTTCGTTGCAGACTTTAATCCCGGGCCTTTCGCAGCCAGAAAGTACATCGGTTGGGGTCACATCCTTCATTTGACACTTTCTGTTCTAGTCTTCTGACTGCGGGTAAAGAAGGTTCATTTTGTGTGTGCTTATGCTCATTGTTTGTTCTTGGATTGATTACTCGAATGGCTTCCGCGTCTTCGTGCAGTCGATTCCAATATGGCCGCTTTTAAGGCGGGTGGATGCCTATATTTTCACAAAGTTAACAAAGCTATTGTTCACGAAGTTTTTCGCTCCATCGAACCATCGTATGAAACGTTCTTTGAATTTTCCTCATATTTTCTATATCTCCAGCTACATGCTGCTTTGGTTTTAAGAGACTGCTGCACTCTACAGCTGTCAGCGTCCTTTCATTCACTGCCAGAGCCGAATGTTGCATAGGGAATGTTTTTCTAATTGCCCAGTACCTTCGCTACAATGAATCCTAGTTCCTGCCGTCTCTTCCCGTAGCATATGTCTGTGTGTATCTGGTTTAAGACGTATCATTCTTTCGTGTTCAGGATTCTTGTTGTCTTTCAGTCAAGTTTCATTCTTTTCTGCTTGTGTCCTTCCAGCGTTAAGTGCCATTGAAACCGTATACTAGTCATCGAATGCGATCTTAGCATTGCTGCACAGCTTACTTTTCGGAATTCGATAGATTCCCTTCTGTTTTGTCGTCTTCATGAATAAATTGGCTTTTTCATGTGATATATTGTCACGTCCTTGGACGTCAAATCATTTGCATCGCAGCTCGTCTTAGAAGTACCCCCCCCCCCAAACCACTTCGCCAGTAGCATCAGCGCAAAAAAT